TTAAATCGAATTTAAATCAGAATTGCTTCTTCTTGATGTTAAGTATAAGCCTCCTCCTTGTTTGCAACCTCTCTAAGACCTCATCGTTGCTCACTCGTTAGCATCCTTCTGTAGAACCACATCTACGTCGTCTCGAGTCTGTTCTTCATCTTTGAGGAAATCGTTCAACATTCTCTGTCGTAAAGAAGGGCAGATGTCACGTAACGGCTCAGTATTCTTTTCCTTGTTACCAAAGAAATCCTAACAAGATGAAATCGAATTTAAATCAGAAGAATTTGACCAGAAATAACCCTAACGATATAAGAAGGCAAAATTAAGATCGCTTCATGCGAGATTCAATCACTTGACGGTATAGACAGAAAATCGTCGCCAGCATCCATTGCAGAATGTAACTTTCCGAATAAAAGGATGTCACCGGAATTACTTTTCCAAAGAAAGAACAAGGAGATTTAAAATAAAATCACCTTTCTTCTACGCCACATAGTCACCAGCGTTCCTTTGCTTCTTCTTCGTGCCATGTTTCTTCAGCATGCGGATGATCACGGCTCTCTACAAATTCTTATCTTTTGTAGCTCGTAGCAATATTTGTCTTTTTACTATTTGTTGTAACCTAGAGAAGGTTACTGAATAGAATAGTCAAACGAAGGTTGGTAATGACGATAATACTTAGGACAAGAACAACACATATAAAAAGAAAAAGAAAGACTGAAAGAAGAAAGTTAAATGAAGTAAGACAGCGTGAGGACAATCAGCACGCGGTAAAAAGGATTGTGCATGACAAAGTGGAGCTAGCAAAAATAAATGTACACAAAGTGTTTTTAGATTAAGTAAATGTTCAAATAACAAGATATTAAAAGAGATAAAGGCTCAGAGAAAAAAAAACGCTTAAGATGTTACATACCAGCGATGGTATCGTTTGGGGGTAGAATTTTTCTTCTATGTACCATGTGTCGTTTGGTAGATTGGTGTCTCGGGGGTAGAATTAGGATAGGAAAAGTAGGAACATAGTACCTTATGCCTGTCGTCTATTCCCTTGGTTCTGATACATTCTAAGGGCTAAAGAGGAAGGCTTCGAAGAGGAAGCTGAGCAAATATTTAGCTAAAGTAAAATGGCGCGAACAAAGAGACATAAAACAATAGAGGTGTTGTACAGCATGAACAGTCTGTTTGTGTTACCATTTTCTTTAAAACTTCCTTCTCCTTTACATGAACCATCTATGGTATTCTCAGAATCCTTCTGTAGAACATCATTTCTGTTGCTTCAATGTGAGAAAAAGAAAAACATTATTAAGGAAAGAGTACGACAAAAAGACAGGAATTAAGAAGACAAGATAACGATTGACGTTGCATTTAGATTTTTGAAGCTCAAACGTGACTGGGAAGCAAGAAGACAGAAGAGCAAGCAAGAAAAGCTATAAAAAGAAAAATACAGCGCCTATCAATTCGCCATTTAATCACCTTCGACGTTGTCGCCTTTTGAAGTCACACATTTTATTTAGCATCTGTTCCATTAACGGACACATTCTTGGAACTCCGTATTTTTGCTGGTAGGGATAGCGAGCATCTCCCTCGACGAATTCTCTTGGATTTTCTCAATGTCTTGGGTTCTTGTTCCTTTTAAGAGGGATTTGATTTTTGAAGAGAATAAAAGTCGCATATAATGGTTGCCGAAACTGGGAAATGTTGTGTTTGGTCAGAAAAAGAAAACGTTATTGACGAGAACAATAAATGAGGATGAATCAAGAAGACAGTAAATAACGATAGAAGTTTTTAAAAATCAAAGTTGGTTGAAAAGCAAAAAAGTCGAAAGAGAGTTCCACGGGCAAGAAGTGCGATAGAAGAAACTGTTAGCATTGAACTTGCGGTTACAGGTAGACAATTTAAATGTAAAACAATGAAATGATGAAACCTACTTGCCAATCTAGTACTGCGCTTAAATTTATAAAGTCAAGGTACCATAAAACAAAGTTCACCAGAACAATTACTATGAACGTATTTATAGTAAAGACACAGGGAAGCTACATTAGGGTGGTGAAAAAGTAACTGAAGCCGAGATGCCAGGTCAGGACCTATAACAATGCAGATTCTTCTTTGGATTTCATTACGACAGACTAGATATCGGGCAGCAATATTCGAAGCATTTACGAATGGTAGATTTCTAAATATGTAAAATAGATTCTGGAGAGAAAAATGTCTAACACGACACAGTGAATCAATTTTCCTAGCAGCAGACATAGTAATTGATTTTCCTGTTTCTTAATGTTTTGTTTAGTTTTTCAAAGGCATCTTTAGATATTCCGATATCTTTAGATTTCAGTGTCACATTTACTGTTGTCTGTTAAAACACTTCCAAGGTAGTTAACTTTCGGTACTTGCTTCACTTTTAGATCTTCAATTTGCAGCTCATATCTCAAAGTGTTTCTCTCGCTGACAACCATACATATTATCTCCTTACAATTGATGCTTCGTCTTTTCTTCGCATTCTTTGTTACTGTTTTGTCTTGGAGTTCCTGCATTTTCTTTCTGAGTCCACCATCAATACGGTGTTATCTGCGTATCTTATGCTAGTAAAATTGTATCCACCAATAATAAATCCTGCTTGGAATTTTAGTTCTCTTAATATTGCAACGCTGTATAGGTTAAGCAGATCTGACCAGTAGGCTCTAATTTGTTTTAAGCGTCGGTCTATTTTTATGTATTTACTGAATTCATTTTCTATCTGTATGTAGGCTGTTTGTTCCAAATATGTATTCTGTAAAAAAAAACTCCCATAGAAGATAGTGAAGGAAAGCGAGAAGAAAGAACAAAACATAAACTGCAAGAAGACAAAATGCATGGTTGTTAGCGAAAGGATGATGCCACAATGTAAATTACAAATCGGTACTACCAAAATCAAGCAATCAGAAAAATTTAAACATCTGATATGTGTTCTAACTGTTGAGGTGTTCTCCTCTTTTAACACAAATGGACTCACCCAGGGTATACATATACTACTGCTAGTGAATACCCGAGGGTGAATGAACGATAAAGAACGAGAGCGTACGAACGTAGACTCAGTAAGAAGTCATACGTCGATACCAAAGATTGTATATATATTTTGCTACTAACCCGTATTCCTGGAACTACTAACCTGCATTACCAGTTTGTATTATTATGTTAATACATTATTTTCATATATTCATTCCTGGCGGTTGTTATTTATTGGTACCGAATTTCATCCCGGAATACACAACACTAACAAAGGACGGAAAATGCGGTACTGAAATCCGAAGACGCATTGAGATAGTTAAAGATGCCTTCCAAAAGCTAAGCAGAGTATTAAGAGACATTAATAGCAAAGAAAAGAATTCAGAGCAGTCTTTCTTCCTTCATATATGTGGAACACCCGGTATGAATCGAACTCACAAGATAAGCTTGATAATCATTATATCACAGCAAAGCCACGGTATTTGATGAGTGTATTCTGTAACAGGGTATAGTTCGGAACGTAGGCAATCCTGGCTCTATATAGATTTTCATTCTTTGAGATGTGTGAATTTCCAAGACTTCTTGGGAAAGGGAACAGAGTGGTTTCCTGTTGTCTTCTAGTCTAGGAATTCAGAGCAGTCTTTCTTCCTTCAGGACGTAGGTGATTATGACTCTCTGCGCACCCCTTCTCTTTGCGAATTGTCATGACTTTGGAAAAAATGTGGACTATTTTCTCATTGGGTTCTAGATGGTTTTGAACTCAGGACGTAAATGATAGTAGCTCTCCACACACTCCTTTTCTTTTTCATTTTTGAATTGCCATATGAGTTCTTGGGAAAGGCCGTGCAATATTGCCTCCTTCCTAGTTTTGAATTCAAAGCAGTCTTTCTCTTTTCAAGACGGATGTGATCATGGCTTTCCACAGAATCTTTTCTTCATTATCTGTGAATAAGTTTTTTGAGGAAAATGGGAAAAAAGATCACTGATAATTTCTGGAAGACAATGAAAAACTGGACTCGGAGAATGTGTCACACATAGAACAGATTGAAGGTAAGAGGATAGCAGAATATAGATGAGGAAGTATAATAACACTGCAAATAGCTACAAAAGATAAGAAGTTGTGGAGAGCCATGATCACCCACATCCTGAAGTGGTATAGTACGTAAAAGAAGAAGGAGAAGGAGAGAGATGTAAAGTAAATAATAAATAAGAAAATGGAGAAATACTTCCCACAAAAAATTCGTTTTGGATATTTTAATACTCGAAAGAAGCTTTTAGAAGCCCACCTTGATTAATTTGGCAAAAGCCAATATGTCTGCTCGGCCACCTCAAGATATTCACAGTATAAGTAACTGATGAAGAGATCATACAAAGACTAGGGTCTATTCGCATAAAGGTCACATTACAAAAATTATTATTCATTGAACTCGATTCTCGCATGCGACCACGTTTTCGTGAATGGAACCTCGCGTATCCGGGTCTTTCATCTTTTATCTTTTCAAAGGCGCCATTTTTGATCTTATGATTGGCCATTTTTGGTTCAGTTCAATTGCATCACTTCGGTGAGTTTGTCGAAGAAAAAACAAACAAAAATGCATTTATTTCTTTGTCATTATTGCTTTTTAGCGAAAAGAAATCTTGCATTAAATTTGTTTTTTTTCTTCTTTCGCGTTTTTTGTTTAATCTTTAGAAGCTTCCGTCAAAAAAAGGTCCCTTTTCGTGGTGATGTTGTATAAGCAAACGCTAGTGGACGTATTTAAGTCAACGCGAAACAAATCGCTGTTTCTTTCTTTCTCTTAAAATACCCATTTTTAATGGTTTATTATTTGTATGGGATTCAATTGACAAGAAAATGCCAAGCTTTACCTGACCTTTCAAATACACTAATAAACATGTATTCGCGTAGGTAGCTTACAAGGTTCGCTTTGCTTTTTAGAAGATGGCATTAGGAGCGTTTAGTCTTGACTTCCTTTATAAATAGATTGCTGTTATTTGTATCGTGATCACTGCTATATATGCATTCACTTGGGCCTACAACCATATCACCTTGCAACACCGGTTCCCGTATGATCATCGAAGTTAAGCAACGTCGAGTCTGGTCAGTACCTAGTGACCGCATAGGAATACTAAGTACTGTAAGCTTGGATGTGGGGATGGTGTAATGGATAATGGCATGGAATTGTTAATCTGAGAGCAGAGTTCCAATTCCAGTCGAGTTCATCATATTCACTTACGCGCGCTAATACCAAAGGCTTGTTAAACCGTAAAAAACGAATCAATCAAAATAAATCAAATTATGCGCTTAAAAAATATCAAAATTCACGTTGTTATGCTTATTGTTTACTCTGTTTACATTGATCGGATTGTTGTTGTCATCTTCATTGTCGTATTCACGAAATTTCGGCCGTTGTACGCTCCGGTCTTCTTCAGGATTTATTTATAATTCTGAGATGAGATATTGTAACAATTTACAATATTTACATTGATCGGATTCTTGTTCTCATCTTTATTGTCATATACACGACGTTTCAGTCGTTGTACGTTCCGGCTTTCTTCAAGTGAATATGCTGGAATTTCTAACTGAGATCTTTATTTTGTCCACGGGGGTAGATTGTTCTAGTTCCGCGTGCCATGCCCTTTCTGGATATCTCAGTTTACAGTTATTTAGTAACTGTTCACATCTGCGATGACCTGATATTGAACGCACAACTATTTGGCTCAAGTCACTGAATTACTTCAACCAACGTTTTTATCCAATAGATGTAGATCGGTTCATCAAATCGTCAGGTTCATACTCCTACCCGAACTTTTGAACAGAAGAAGAGGCTTATCCATTGTTTCCTGTTAAGCAATACATAGATAGACAAATATTAATAGATAGATAGACAGACATTAAGAGATAGATAGATAAATATACATACATTAAGCAATAGATAGACAAATATTAATAGATAGCTAGATATTAAATGATAGATAGATAGATAGATAGATAGATATACATACATTAAGCAATAGACAAATATTAATAGATAGCTGGATATTAAATGATAGATAGATACATAGACAGACAGACATTAAGAGATAGATAGAGAGACAGACATACATACATTAAGCAATAGACAGACAAATATTAATAGGTATATAGATAAATAGACATAGATTAAAAGGTAGATAGAAATTAAAAAATAGATATTAAGAGATAGATAGATGTCTATCTATCTGTTTAGATAGATAAACATTAAGAAATAGATAGAGAGACAGACATTTCGTTTTCTCATCTGAAAACAGTGAATTTACCCCCATAAAAAAATGAGGTAAAATGATGCTTTTTGGCAAAATGAAACATTTTGGTACAGAGAAAACGGTAGTTAATACCAATATATTCTTAATATGGTTTTATATAGAATTAATATAGAATTAATACAAATAAAATTTGTAACTTAGTTGATTGATGTTTGAAAGTGGCGGTCTAATTTTGTTTATAATACAATTAAAACTTTTCACTCGAAGAATTGGTGACAAAAAATACATTTACCGTAAATTACGGTGTACGTCGAGTTTTCAAGCTTAAAAATAGCTTTCCAAAACTAAGTGTCGATTAACAAGTATAAAATGGCCATTATTTTGGGGATTCGGCGCCTTAAAATTAGTCAACAAAGATTGTTACCGTTCTTGTCCTAAAAGATATGTTGACTAATGTAATTCTTCCGTAAATGAATTCCGTCAAAATTTGTTTGACTCCAAGCAATTTCATATTAGCATTTTGTTTTTCTGAGAAAATAGCCCTTTACAATCTTTAAGATAACTGATTTTTTTTCAGTTACAGAAATCTGTAAAAACCAGAATTAATAACAATACGGAAAGGCAATATCTGCTGAAAATGATGCATAAAACAAAGATATCCCCACCGAGCTATAATTTGACTGGAAAATAAGAAACCGGAAGAGAGTTCCACAAGCAAGAAATGCGAGAGAAGAAAAATGTTAGAACTTACGTTTGCATTTAACAATTTCAATTGTAAAACGTTGAGACCTAGCTGCCAATCTAGTACTGCACTTAAATTAGTAAAGTCGAGGAAAGGTCATCAGAATAATTTTCATTAAATTATTTATAGACAAAAGCACATGGGCGCTATGTTACAGTGGTGAGAAAGTGACTGAAGCCAGCTCAAGTCCAATAATATTGCAGATTCTACTTTGGATTTTATCAAGGTTCTCTAAATAATAATCAGTTTTGTTTGAAATTCCAATAAGGAGTAAGAATGCAAACACCTGAAGAAGACCGGAGAGTACAACTGTCAAAACGTTGGGAATATATCAGTCAAAATTAGCATATAATAAAAATAATAAATATATTTTTCTTAATAAAGCAAACGAAAGTTTTGTCCCCTGATATACGAGGTGTATTAAAAAAGTACTCGACTTTATTTTTCCCGCCAAAACTAATGCCTCCCCCTCCCCGGGTAAAGTCCTTTGGATGGGACGTGACGCTACTCTTACTTCTCAGCTATTATGCCATGAGTACAGACGCATCGAACGGGGATATTGTATCCTGGGCAAAACAACCGCTTCAAACACCTCAGTAAAGAGCGAGGTACGCTTAGACATACCAACCACAAGCTGAAACTCCGAGCCGATTGAGAAGGTTCAGTGAATGATCATGGAAGACCGTCATGTAACACTTCGGAATATTACTCACGAAGTGGGAATAAGCACAAGATCAGAGCATTCCATTTTAACGGAGGATTTGTACATGTAGAATTTCGCCCGTTCATTCCGCCCACATCATCCAAGCTTTCCTGTTTAAGAACAACACATCACTTGTTCGACTTGACACCCTGTGACTTCTGGCTCTTCACCAATCTGGAAACCACGCTGATGGAAGCGAGAGGAAATTATGAGAGAAATGACGGCGGAATTCCATACCAGGCGTTTCGGAGGTGTTACCAATAGTGGCAGAACAGCTGGGAGAAGTGTGTGGACTCCCAAAGGGAAGTATTTTGAAGGTGATTAAATAAAATTAGTGAAATGTATAATTATTTTTATATCCAAAAGTTGATTACTTTTTGAACGCTTGTCAAATTGTAGCATTTTACTGGGATTAGACGAGACAAAAGACCATAACAGTAGACATAGATTAGGGATCGAACCGACTTGCCAAAGAAACGAGTCAATTAACCATCGCTCACCGACAAGCGCCATATTCGCATAGAACAAGGTGAAAAGAATTTTCTGAAAAATATTTACTCAACTGAATTTGTTGTTTATTATTAGAGGAAGATTATATTTTTGCATTCTCAGGGATAATGCAGTCAATATTCAATGGGAAAATATGCTAATAAATATATAATATATATATATATATATATATATATATATATATATATATATATATATATATATATATATAAAAGTGAACATAGAAGTCAACACTTAGAGGCGACAGTCTGTTTCATGCTATATGCAATCGTCAGGCCACGTGTATTTTTTTATTTTTCTATATATATATATATATATATATATATATATATATATATATATACGGGTCAGTGATGCATTGTGGGTAGTCTGTTATGGCGGTTATTTTACCGGAAGTCGTTTATTTATTTGGGTTAAATTATTTTGCTTGTTTTTATTTATTTTTATTTTTTGTTTCTTATTTTATTTATCTATTTTTTTAATCGGGGTTTTTATTAACGTAGTAAAAATTGTTTATATCACTTATTTAATAGTTTTGTTTTGGTTTGAGAATTTAATTAAAGCTATTTGTTCGGTTTTGGGGTTGATGGTTGTAGTTTTATTCTAACTATTATTTTGGCATGAACAGTTTTTTAATTTGTGTTTATTTGATTTTATTTATATATATATATATATATATATATATATATATATATATATATATATATATAACATTAAACATTTATTGTGCTGGATCACTGATAGATTCACTTAATGTTATAATTAAATTCTGCTCAAAGAAAGTAATCGTTCTTTCGACAAAAAGTTTGAAATTTTCAACTTAAACTCATAAAAATAAAATCTTGGTTTATTTTAAGAGCAATTAGTCAATGATTTTGCAAATAGGCTCGAGCCAATATCCAATCACTTATACCTGGCATTTTTTGTGATCTGTTCAAACATTGGACTATCGAGAAAGAGAGGCCTTCCTGAATAGCATGGGTCAGTTTTAAAGTAAGACTGCTGAAACAAATTTATATGTTCACTATCACTTACTGGCAACCGATTTACTCACAAGGTTTTATTTCTTGAATGTTGGCTAAAGCTTACTTGTAACATCAATGAATGTTAGTTCGGCCTACTTACAAACCGACTGGATATTGGCTCGGGCCCACTTGCAAACTGATTGGAAATTGGCCCGGGTCTAATTGCAAACCGACTGGATATTGGCTCGGGCCCACTTGCAAACTGATTGGAAATTGGCCCGGGTCTAATTGCAAACCGACTGGATATTGGCTCCGGCCCACTTGCAAACTGATTGGAAATTGGCGTGGGGTCTAATTGCAAACCGACTGGATATTGGCTCGGGCCCACTTGCAAACTGATTGGAAATTGGCTGGTCTAATTACCAAACCGACTGGATATTGGCTCAGGCCCACTTGCAAACTGATTGGAAATTGGCCGGGTCTGGATATTGGCTCGGCCCAAAACCGACTGGATATTGGCTCGGGCCTACTTGCAAACTGATTGGAAATTGGCTCGGGTCTAATAAACCAAACCGACTGGATATTGGCTCCGGCCCATTTGCAAACTGATTGGAAATTGGCTTGGGGTCTAATTGCAAACCGACTGGATATTGGCTCGGGCCCACTTGCAAACTGAATGGAAATTGGCTCAGGTCTAATTGCAAACCGACTGGATATTGGCTCAGGCCCACTTGCAAACTGATTGAAATTGTGTCCGGATAGGTCTAATTGCAAACCGACTGGATATTGGCTCGGGCCCACTTGCAAACTGATTGGAAATTGGCCTGGTCCAATTGCAAACCGACTGGATATTGGCTCGGGCCCACTTGCAAACTGATTGGAAATTGGCCCGGGTCTAATTGCAAACCGACTGGATATTGGCTCGGGCCCACTTGCAAACTGATTGGAAATTGGCCCGGGTAATTAATTGCACAAAC